GTTTTCTTCTTCAGAGGCAATTGTATTAAATTTGTCGTGTGTTTCATCAACTGAGTCTAAAGAATAACAATATAATAAAAATTTGAGATAAAAGAAAAATTACAAATGTCATGAATGAATAGAAAAAAAAAGAAGGCGGACACTTACTTTCTGCATCATCCTCAGGCTGACGCTTTTCTACATCCTCCAGTAAAGAATAAAATTGATCTAACTTTTCTTGATGGTGTTGAAACTCTTCCCTCAAAGCCTGAAGCTCCTCGGCTAAAAAAAAAAATCATCAAAAAATACTTAAGCCAATATCTCGGTGTTTGTGATTACAATGTATTGAGTAGTCCTTACCAGTAAAACCAGCATGTTCTGCTTTTTCCCAAAGCTTGTTTAACTTTTTGTCTTTGAATAGGCTTTTGTTGGAATGGTCAGCTGTAGCCTGGTCGAATGGTTTATGGAGTCGATGCTTGGCGGGGTCACTGATTTCATCAAAATGTTCGAGCAGGTCATATGAACTCATGATACCTGACAGTACAAAGAAAATTACAAATAGGGTTGTAAACAAAAACGTACAAAACAGTAGCTCATAAAAATTAAAACTACTTACCAATCAATTTCTTACGCATAGTTGCTTCCATCATACCGTCTTTGTCTTTCCCGTCTGATTTGAGTTTTTTGAATGTTAACTCCTCCTTGTCATGAATTTTTAGTTCACTAAACAGCGACTTCAATTTTGGTTCAGTCAGTCTCTGCAAAGAAACCATAATAAAAATAAAAATAAATCTAAGTGGGAAAAGTAAACTATTAACGTCAAAGAAATACGAACCACTTGAGCTTTACTCCAGAGCATGTTCAGCTTCGCCATCCTAAACGGTTTCTCAAGTTTTCTGAAATCAGATTTCTGTTCAAACATTGAACCCTGGACATCTTTTGATGGCTTGTGCTCCTTGACAGGCTTCGATTCCTTGAACTCATTGTTGGCTTTGGCAGAGTACTTGTTGAGGGCATCTCCATAAGCCACGAGTAGGGCGAGTAGCAGAAGAGTTCTGATCATCATTCTGCCTGGGTAGATGACGTTTACGTCTCAAATAAGTTAGTTTTGGACAAAGATCTGTTCGATCGCAGATGGATAACCAAACGCTCTCTGTCTACTGATAGAGGCGTATGTCGGCTGCTTGAAGATGGCCTCGTCCAGCCTCACTTGGAATCAATAAATCAACTTGATTGAAATGACGAAAATTGTTTGCAGCAACAAACTAAGAAACGAACACCGGTCCGTCTCCTCTCCGCTCGGCTCTCGGCTCGGCTTCGGCTCGGCGCTGGCCGGTCGGCTTCAGCTTTGGTTCGGCTCGGTTCGGCTCGTGAGTACAGGAGACTTTTTATCGTATGGCACATTTCGAGGAACGCTCAAGTAATTCCCACATCATCAAAAAATAAGTAGGAAGCAGTTTTGTTTTTGTACAGAGTCACTATTTATTATAATAATCAAATACCTTGCCATCGAAGTGCAACATCAATTCAAACCAGTTACTTGTAGAATAATTGCAAAATTAAAAAGGATGACAAAACTTAAAATAGATGTTTCATTATCAGCAAATGGTGGTTACTTTTCTTCCAGAGGGAAATGAACTCACGACATTCCTTAATAAAACAGAACTAGAACACATATCACATTTGAACAAACACATATCCACAGATCTGCAAGGGCTCAGTAAATAGATTCTTAACTTATGGAACGAAAAAATAAGTGCAGTATATTGCAGACGTTTTGGTTGTTCACTAGCCACTTTGTTACAAGTTAAAAACAATACAAACGAAATCCACATCCATTAACTTTCATTGACGAGGAGAGAAAATATCAGATACTTTAATTAAAGTATGTCTACAAGTTTACAGAAACAAAATGATGATGAAATTTAGGAATTTTCTAAAGAGGTGTTTTTTGCCATCAACCAAAAAATTAAAAATTAAATGAGTAACCACACAGCTCTTAGTTACACATTAAGGATTCAGAGAAAACAAGGAAAAAATTGAGTAGAAAACAATGAGCCTAAATAATACACTAAGTTAAGGTATTGAAGAGACAAAATATTTTCAGAACAGTAACTGAAAGTTACAGAACCACATTGACAATGATTGATGGGAATTAAGGAAAAATATCACAGTTCAGTTGTGGCAAATGTTCACACGGAAGATATTCCACAGTAACAAATTCAGTCCTAAACAATAATCCAAGAAATTTAAAAGTGCCTCTAATTAAAATAAGTTAAGTGATACATACAAGAGGCAAATAATATAATTATCAGTACATCATGCTCACAGAAACTTAACAGCATGTAGTGAGATGAGAGGAAAAAGTCTTCATGAGAATGAATACTGTTGATACTATCAGTCACATGAAACTTAACATAAAATGTACAGAAAAGGATTGAAATCCTTTTTTCCCCTATACCCCAAAATAAATCATCTGTAAAATTTCTAAAGGGTATAACACATAATTTAACAAAGCATTAATAATGTTTAAGGCATCCACAAAAAAAGTAAACCTTCAATCCTGAATATTTTAAAATAAAGCAAACAACGAAACAATCTTCATTAAAGAACAATAACTTTTTAAAGTTTTATAAAACTTACCAGAAGCTTTGATCAAAGTAAACAGACAGCAATGAAAAATAAATGCTGCTCAATGGTAACATACTGGGTCAGAAAGGTCTATTTTGAAGGGCCTAAAAAGAGTTTTACACCAGAGAGATTTCTTTTGTGTGCAGACATTTCACTGGAAATAGCCTGTCGTGGGTAACTTCACAATCGCAAATAGTGAGAAAGGTTGCATACAAATTTCTTGTAACTGCAGTACCAGTGGTGGCGGAGCACACAACCCGTTTGGCACCAGTTATCCTTCAGGATATGGCCAATGGGGCCCAATACTCAACTTAACTTAATCATAACTTAGAGCCATACGATTTCAATAAGATATTTTCCACTTCCTGAACTGACAACATGCAACATGAATGATATGCAGAGGGCAGCTTATATGCAAACCAAAGTGAATTTCTCCATGAACTTTAGCAAAATAAGTCTCAAGACAGCAAAATGGGGAGCTTAAGAATTTTTCATTCGCTTTTGGGGTGGGTCTTCATCGTCAGCTACAGTATGACTTTTCTTCAGAAAGGGCACTTTGTCTACATCTAGATCTTTGAAACTTTGGTTCTCTTCTTCTTCATCCTCATCTATTACTTCTTCAATGTCATTTTCAACCTCAATTACATTTACTACCTCACATTCAATATCATCTGTGGCTTTAATGGTAACTTCAGGTACGGCATGAATCTCATGATCCAGACGGTCAAGGTTTACAACTTCCTCCTTGCCCGTTGATGATTCACCTTCCTCTGCCTGAGCAGCTGCTCTGATCAGATCCTCAATGTCTCCTTTATATCCTTGGCCAGAAGTCAAAGGAAAACTTGCACCTGGCATAACCTTCCCCTTGCTAAAATTATTTCTTTTCACTGAGATTCCTTTCTTGGCTGCATTGTACCCACCAGCCTCCTCATCGTCATCACTATCGTCATCATCCTCATCCATGTCGTCATCATCACTATCGTTAAATGGGCGTTTGTCATCTTCTTCATCTTCATCATCGGAATCATCATCCTCTTCTTTTCTGCCCTCAGAGGAGTCATCATCTTCATCGTCATCAACGTCCTCTTCATCTTCATCTTCTTCATCCTCATCCTCATCTTCCTCCTCCTCATCGTCAGCATGACCTTCTTCAATCTCTTGAGGAACATCATCAACCTCCTCGACTTCGACATTCACAAGTTCTGGATCTGGTTCCCCTGGAGGTTCTGGCTCATCTCCAGCAATATCCTCATCATCTGATATCAAAACACCAACTTCATTCTGATCATCTTGTTCATCCTTGGGTAATTCTTTCATTTCCTGAGGACTCATGTCAAATATAAATCTTTGCTGTAAAAAAACAAAAGAATTATTTTTTTTATAAGCAATTACACTTAAATTAGATTTGTGTAAAGAAACACAAAAATGATATGAACTATGTACCACAAATTCCTGTTAGTTCAATTTAGCCAAATATTTACCAAAAAAAAATATTTCTGAACAGGCACTTTAGTTTTGCGAGAGGAATGTATTTACTGGTTGCAAAACTCTTCATCTTACATAACTTCGACTTAGAAAATATAAATTTCAAAACTGAATCTTTATTTCTATACCTGAAGAGAAGATATCTGGTAGAGTGAAAATCTGCCGCAGTCCTTGAAACTGCACCCTGAAGAGTGTCTCGTAGATGCAATTATCTCTGCAAGCATTATAAGAAAAGCAATGAATATTCCCATTCAAACTGTAGATATCCTGCTCATGGTATGTACCATATCAAAACAGTTTATCATGAATAAAAATTCAATTTCAGTAATTTTTAACAGTTTTTCAAATAAACCTTCTAGAAAAGGATTAGAAAAGTCATCCCATAGGATCTAATCCAGATGCGGATGTCACTTTTGACAGCAGGTGCGAGGGGCGCAAAGAAGCCATTACTGAGGGGGCATTCTTTCGGGTCGTAAAAGCTTCGGGGCGAACGGGCGAACCCTTAGCCCAGCTGTGTCGAGGAAACGGGAGGAAATCCAGCCTAGAGTAAGCGCACCAGCTCGCGCGTGCGGTTATTTTACCTTCCTCTGCCGCCAGTCGGCTAGTGAGGTTTCTTTGAATCGCCTCGCGACTGTCGTGAAAATGGCGAATATATGAGATCAATAACTTATAAAATGCTGAGCCGAAGGCCCCGTAGGCAAGGCAGGCTGAGTCCCATCCACCCCATCCCCTGCCCTACCACCCCCACTCACCCCCACTTGACCCCACCACCTCCACCGCGGCCCCTTTTGATCCGAGTTTGATGATCTCTGGACGAAGTAGGACTTCTTCTTATCAGTGGGCCGAGGGTCGTGTCGAATCCAAGGGCTCAGCGCTTGGCGATGTAAGTGTTCGGAACCCGGTCAAAGATCGATATAGACGGGTACATTAACGAAAGTCTGATAGGGGCAAATTAACTTAACCGCCATGTTGCAGTCAGCTTCCTCTCATCTGTGATTGGTCGAGAGCAGACAACCTGGTGGAAACAAATGCCGTTTTGTTATGATCCCAGTCGTTTTTCCTGCTCTTCTTCTTTGAGTCCAGAAACATGGCCGACTCCGACACAGAGGATGTGCCGACGCTGCCGGCGGATACCCTCGCTATTTTACAGCAATTTCAGCTGGAGCAGCAGGAGAAATTAAAGAAACTTGAAGAGACCGTGCAAAATCCGTCCGGTGAAAAGGGTGACATTGAGATAGAAGAAGATTGGGTATGTTGACACTTTTGTGAGGTTATGTTGTGCTTGTGGTTGAAGTTGAGTTACAGTAACAGTATATCACAGTCCTTGGACAATAGAGTTAACTTGCCAACCATCGTTATCCCTCTTGCTTTCCCATAAATAATTCTTGCGTTTTACCCCTTAAAATTCGTTTGTCTTTTTAACTCGCAGCAACTAAGTCAATTTTGGTATGATGATGCCACAGCAAATGCGTTAGCAGAAGAAGCTCTTCGCTGTGTTGAAAATAAAGGGCGTATTGCTTTAATTTCCTGCCCTACTCTGTACAGGCCGCTCGTTAAATTGAAAAGTGCAGAATGTGTTGGTCAGTATTCTGTGGAGGAACTGTATTGAATTGGTTTACAAACTGTGTCATTGATATCAACTTTACTTTTGCAGTAAAATTGCTTGAGTTTGATAAGCGATTTTCTGTGTATGGGGACAATTTTGTATTTTACGATTACAATTCTCCTTTGGAGCTTCCAGCGGATCTGTCTAAATCCTTTGATTTAGTTATTGCGGATCCCCCTTTCCTTTCAGAGGAATGCCTCTCCAAGGTGGCTATTACTATTGAACTTCTTAAAAAGGAAAAAGTCATCTTATGCACTGGTGCGTGTGAATGAATCCATTTTTGCTTAAGGAAAATAGGGGAAAACAACATTCATTGTCAGTTATTTTTTCCCTGACCATAGGTGCTGTTATGCAAAAGCTTGCTGAGGATCTTCTCCAGTTAAAAAAGAGCAAATTTACACCTCATCACAAGAACAATTTAGGCAATGAATTCAGCTGCTACTCTAACTATGATATGGACAGCTCTATGAATGTGCAGGCCACAGCACAGCCTTAAATATAACTTTCTCTGTAAGATGAATGAAATGAAATTAAATGTACTATTTTCTACCATGAAAGATTTTTTATTAAAAGTAAGACATCCAGAGAAACAGAGAACAGGTAAAAGGTATAATTTATTTTGCTCTTTAAATTGGTTGGTCTAGACTCTTCACTGCCATGGCCAATGCCCCATCTCTTGTTGAATTTCCACCAATAAATCCACTTGCATGAGCAAAAATACATCCATCAACACCAGAAACCTTGCTTAGCTCTTCACTTCGTAGGCCTCTCCAGTCAGGATGCAAAAAAATCCTAGACGCAAAAGTAAAGATGTTGTAGAAAATGGATTGTAAAGTAGGAAAGGTATGATATGATTAGTTTATCAGGGCCTGAACAGTACTTACTTCCCAACAAAACTTGTTGCATCTTCGGGAACTCCTTGAACCCTCCAGCTCCCATCAGTACCATTAAATAATACAAAATTGATGCTACTTGGAACTATCTCCAATTCTTTGGCAAGTTCAAAGAAATGTTCTTTCCATGGGCAGAATGTCTTCAGCTCCATAATCTGTCCAGATTCGTGGACCTGTGTGATAATAGTTAAAAGATTTAAAAAAGGTACACATCATGTGAGATTATTTGTAACATCTGACATTGGTATCAACCTTAAAGCGATCATTTATGGCATCAAGGACATATTTTCTAGCAGGCCACCATGAGCTGGATGCATACTGCACTCGATCAATAAATTCACTGCCCACCAAGGCTACAGCTTTCTCAAATCTGTCCATGCACTTCGGGTCTTCAGGAGGTGCATTCCATGGAGGGTTGAGGTGCCCAACCCGAGCACTTAGGTTTGTTGAAATTCTGTACCTGAAGGTGTAGTTTTACCATGAGTTCCCTTTAGTTTCAGTAACATAGTGCATACATCTATAGTTATTATTGTGTTCCTACTTACTTTGGTTCTCCTTCACAAATAGGTACTCCATTGTCTATTGCATCAATCTCTTGAACAAATTTTTCATAAACATAATTGAATACAGGTTCAATTTCTTTTTCATTCAAATCTGGTACTAGCTGATGAATAATTTCTCGTCCAAAGTGACAGTATACTAGCCCTGCGCTACTCAGCTTTATTTTCCATGGTTTTCCAGGTATGAGACTTGATCCTGTTTCTGCAAACCCTCTGAAAAGGAACAAAGGTGAATTATATCAGATTATACAGCAAGCAAGACTAATTACTTATTTAGCAATAAAATAAATATCTAACCTTTGATGGTGGTCATAACGATGGGTAGTTGGGTCATACTTCCCACCAACATCAACTACTATATCACATTTTTCCAGAACTGAATCATCTCGGGTCCTAGGCAAATGGTATGGTATGTTGAGAATTAATATTAGTAATACAAGAAAGCTCACAAAATATGAGAACATCCATTACCTGACAATTTCAGAATTTTTATATTGAGGTAGTTGTTTCAACATGAAACATGCTAAGGCTTCATCACAGTGAAAGACACCATCATGTGTTCCAATCTGTAGTGTCTTCCGAGCAGTTTTCAGCACAGGTTCCATGCCTGAAAAGCGGAAAGATTTCAATAATAAAAATATATATCTACATTGGTCAGTGATGAAAGATACTTCCTCTTTTCCAAAAACAAGTAATATGTAATTGACTGATTTTCTGACGAATTACTATAGTGATTGTTGCCTACATTTACATTAAATGAGTTTAAACTCACAATGCGGCATAACCTATTCGTTATCGAAATTACGATTTTTGACTAGATTACGGCTTGATTTGTAACATCAATCAGATTTGGAATTAACGTGATCACAGTAATGTGAAGGGTTGAAGTCGTTCGACTTTAAAAAAGATACGAACCTTTGAAAATCTTGGATATCTTGGCCAGCTTAATGTTTAAAAACACAAACTTAAGGCTTAGAGCGGGGCGGCGGCGGCGGGGAGCGGAGACGAGCGGGGAAGGCAAAGCACTGCCACTACCACTAACATGCTCCAGGCTTTTAAAATGTTGCCAGAAATGTGTGTTTCGATTCTATTTCTGATTTTTTTTTTCAAACCACAGCGAGCTTACTGAACGACAATTTTGTTTTCGATGGCGAGTCTCGGGCACTGAAAGCTTTATTGTCGTTTTCCCGTGCCAAAAGTTGCCACTTTGGGACGCCGGGACGGCCATATTGCCGCGGCTTTTCAAACGCGGGCGCGACTTACAACACATCGTTTCGACATCGACAAACAAATCATTTC